CGGTTTGAAGCCTGGCCCAGTGGTTTAAAACTCATGCTGGGGGAGGGAACCAGCAGTTAGCGTAATGGCTATGTCGCTGGACTCCCACGTAGTCGACCGCGGTTCGTGTCCCGGACCCGGTGGCTTAAAACTCATGCTGGGCGCATGTGCGTGCGTGCCCAAGATCCCGAGAGGAAAATGGAGGAGAAGGGATTGCGGCGTGACCATCCCCCCTGGGGGGTGATTTCTCGCTTTCTGTCTCTATGTATCTCTCTGTCTGTCTGGTGAGTGCACACGCCCTATAGCGAAAATCTCTCAAAAAACAAAAACAAAAACAAAAACAAAAAAACTCACTCTGGGGGACCAGCAGTTAGTGTAATGGCTATGTCGCTGGACTCCCATGTAGTCAACTGTGGTTCGATTCCCGGACCCAGGGGCTTAAACTCACGCTGGGCAAGTGTGTGTGTGTGCCCAAGATCCTAAGAGGAGAATGGAGGAGAAGGGATTGCAGTGTGGCCAGTCCCCCTGGGGGGTGATTTCTTGCTCCCTATCTCTTTGTATCTCTCTGGCAAGTGCACGCACCCTATAGCAAAAACCTCTCAAAAAACCCCAAAAAAACAAAAAAACAAACCAAAAAACACATCATGCTGGTCACGTCTGTGTGCAGGTCCGAGATCCCTAGAGAAGAATGAAGAAGGGATTGTGGTGGGACCATCCCCCCTGTGGGGGCCGTTCTATCTCTTTGGTGAGTACATACTCTCTATAGCAAAAATCTCACTTAAAAAAAAAGAGAGAGAGAGAGAGCGCGATCACCCCCTCCCAGGGGGGATGGCCATTCCACAATCCCTTCTCCTCCACTCTCCTCCTGGGCTTTTGGGCATGCAGGCGCACATGCCCAACATGATTTATTTTTTCTTTCTTCTTCTTTCCTTCCTTCCTTTTTTTTTTTTTTTTTTTTGTTTTTTACTGTCTTTCTTTCCTTTAACAGGCATTCTAGGAGAGGCGAACTGAAATAAGAAGGGCGGCAGTTGTGCGTAAGGAGAACGACCAGTGTACCACTCCTGGAGTCACAGAGTGGGACAGAAGATGAGTTTTTGAAGTGGACAGGCCAGAGTGTTGGAAGTCTCATTAATGTGGATATTGAAATCACCAAGAGTTGTGACAAGAGCACAGGCAGGGCCAGCAGGTGGCACGGTGGTTAAGGCACTGGATTCCCATATAGCTGATAATAGTTGGACTCTTGAACCTAGTAGCCTGGAAATCACCTTGGGTATGTGTGAATGAGTGCCCAAAATACCAGGAGGAGAATGGAGAGGGATTTTGGTGTGACCACCCCCGTGAGGGGGATGTCACTTTTCGTCTTTCTTTCTCTGGCAAGTGCACTAGCTGTATGGCAAAAACCTGAAAAAAGTGAAAAACAACAAAGAGCGTGAACAACAAAGATGACCACCCAAAATGCCAATATCTAAGTGTTCATGAGATGTCTCTACCTGACAAAGTCACATTTGGGCTGGTTTGACCCCTTTTCTCCCTAGGGAAATGTTATAGATAATCAATAGCCGAAGAATGATGGCAAGAAAAACCCGGTTCATTTCCTGATGTTCAAATGACAGTGTTATCATAGAGAACTGTATAAAAGATAAGAGGGTTGGGACCTGGAGTAACGGTTGTGTTGCTGGACTCCCACCAAGTCAACCGCAGTTTGAGTCCTGGGCCTGGCAGCTTAAAACTTACCCTGGGATGGGGCCAGAGGGGGTGTGGTAGTTAAGGGCACTGGACTCCCACACAGCCAACCGTGGTTCGAGTCCTGGACCTCGCAACTCGCTTTCTCACTTCCCCCCTCTCTCTCTCTCTCTCCGTCTCTCTCTGGTCAAATTAAAATAAATAAATAAAGTTAAATAAAATAATTATTTTTAAAGAATTATTTATTTTATTTTATTTATTCATTCATTTTATTTTAATTTGACCAGAGAAAGACAGAGAGAGGGGGCGGGGGAGTGAGAAAGCAAGCCACCAGGTCTGGTTGGCCATGTGGGAGTGCCCAGAGCCTTAATCACCACGCCACCTGCTGGTCCCAAATAAAATAATTCTTAAAAACAATAACAACAACAACAAACCTCACTCTGGGAGCTTGTGAGTGCCCAAGATCCTGAGAGGAAAAGGTAGGAGGAGGAGGAGAATGTAGAAGGGATCGTGGTGTGTCCATGCCCTTTTCGCTCTTTGTCTTTCTGTCTCTGCTGTCTCTCCAGCGAGCGCACTGGCCCTATAGCAAAAGTCTCTCTCTCAAAAAAAAAAAAAAAAAGACAGTTATAACTGAAGCTCCCCAGGTTTCAATTTCCTGATCAGAAAAGTTGAAATAGCATCTATCTCTCAAAGTGGTTATGCATATTTAATGTAGTCCTGTATGCTAGGAATAATTTATTAAGCATTTAGGCATTGTTCTACAGTGCCTGTTAGCTCACGGTAACCTTTGGAAAGAGCTTCTAGTTAATCCCCATTTACAGATGAGGAAACGTTGGCAGGCGATGCTACTGTTGGTGGGACCTTATGTAAAGAGTGAGGAGGGGTCCCAATTCTCGTTGGTTCATAAACTGCGTGATCTGTGATGGAGGTGAGCACAACGCCCCAGAAAGGCACAAGACGGATCCTGGACAATGCAGACCAACCTTTGCCCGCACCTCCGGGACCCTCCGCTCGGACCGGCGGCCCACGGCTCCCTCCCGGGGCCGGGCGGCCAATGGCTCCCTCCGGTGGCCAAAGAGAAGAGCGCAGCCGGCGAGCTGGATAGGGCGTAAGGGGAAGGTCCTTCCTGGGGTTCGTGAAAAGTGAGGCCAGGATCCGTTCTAGGCTTTGAGAGGCTGGAGGACTAGGACTCCGGAGGGTGCCGACTGACAGTGATCAGGAGTTTCTGACGACGCACCTGGGCCAGGTGTCGCGGTCGGCTCATCTCCAGGCGGCCTTCCGCCGTCTTCACACGCCCCTTTTAGGAGGCTGTTTCTCTCTGCACCTCCAAACTCAGAATGGAGTCCGGCCTGCACGGCAGGTGTTTGTTTGCACCTAGGTAATGAGGACTGTAGGATCCGTGGCCCACACTCAGCTCGAGACACACGTCTGCAGGACGACCCTGGGAGCACCCCAAAGCGGAGCTGCAGCCGGAGCCGCGCTGTCCCGGGGAGCGCCGAGGAGGCGGGGCATCCGCGGGCTCGCCTACGGGGCGGGGCCGGGGCCAGGGACCAATGGGGAGCCTGAGCCGGGGCGGTGGGGGGGCAGGCTCCGGGCCTGGCCTCCCGGTAGCTGCCCGAGCTGTGGTTGCGCCTGGCGGAGAAGGAGCTCTGGGCCCCCTGCACCCGGCTGCTGGAGCAAGTGGGCAGGACCCTGGTGGGGGAGGAGGACTCAGATTTGTGTTGGGCTATGCCAGCCCGCCTGCGTTTCTATTTTGGTAGTCGAGGGGCGTGTTTGGGTTGGGAGAGTTTGGGGGGGGGGGGGCC